TTATAAACTCTTGTAATTTGTCCAGTCTATCAAGAAATTGGTTATTACTTGGGTTTCTGAGTCGACATTGTGAACTGAGTTTAATATCTCATTTAAAGATGACTTATTTTTCGTATCTCTATCATAGTTTTTTAGAGGAATGTGCTTTAACATACTAAATGAATGCAATGACTTTTGATATGTGTGGGCAAAAGCTATATGTTAAGTGTTTTTGAGACGTCTACATTAGTTATTTCTGGGACGTATACCGGATTTCCACGGGATTCCAGGGATTCCAACGAGATTCCAGGGATTCCCACGAGATTCCCGGGATTTCCACAAGATTTCTGGGATTCCCATGGGATCCGGAATCCTGGGAATCCGCCGTTTCCCCCTTGTAAGCGCTACTCAGTACCTAATACCAACGTGGGAGGAGGCCAGTCCGAGTCCTGCAATAGGTGTTCCATCGAATCCGACGATTGGAATGATTTTCCTGGGTATGTTGTCCTATGGAAACAGATTGCATTTTTGCCATTTTTATCACCGATGGAATTATTGATCACTGCTGAAGGCCGCTAGTTTTTGAATAGAAGAGCAGAACCATAAATATACAAACAGTAGCATTAGGAAAAATATTTCATCTTCGAAATCATTGAAATTCTGTGTGAATGTTCGATGACTATCAACATGTTTTTCTCATTTTTAATTATCACAAAACAAAGAAAATACAAAATCAAAATGTGTGAAATAATGCATCTCACTGGAAAAATAATATCGATTCTTTTTTTAATCATAACTGTTGAATTTACAGATTATAGTGGCGTCGGCAATGTTTCTGAGAATTTTTTTTTCTTTACAACTCTGCTTTTGTTATAAATCCGGATATTTGGCCTTTCCTAAAAACAAAAATAAACAAAATAAGTCAAACTGCATTGAGAATTTGCGCTTGAAATACTCCTAAGCAAGCTACATGCTAATGATTATAACTAAGCAAATGCCAAGTGAATTGCTTCGGGAAATATTAAATTAATTTTTGAATGAATTCTCAGTAAGCTTTACTTTAATTTCTGTACTAGTACCACAAGTAATACAATTAGTCTTTTTAGTAGTTTGCATAAATAGCAATAATTCGATCTGTCTCATTGAAATACCTTGGATGGTTTTGTCGTATTTCTCTTTTTTTTTTAATGCAGCCAATTTACTGAAGAATGGAATGTTATAGGGTTATTTATTTTTTTCAAATTACGCCATTCTACTTAATTTACCTTGTATAATAGGATAGATTAATACAGAAATCATTCCATCTAAAACAAAGAAATAAAAAAAATGAATGAATTAAATTATCGATACTTACAATCCAACTTTAAATTCTGATAGTGTTTCGGATGGTAATAATTGTATAGGTGTCATATTTATTGGTTTCCTATTTGCCATTTGTTCATCGTCAACGTGTGCTATGAATTTTTGTGGTGTAAATACTTGATCACAAGTAAAACAGTGAATACAACGATAATCGGGTTCGCGAAACCATGTGGGAAATAATTGTCCCATACTGTCAACATTTTTATTTGAATATGTTTTCGTATGTCGTATGACGATTTTAGGTATTTTATCTATATCAGATTGGCCGTGTTGGTCAAGGGCTTGTGCTATATCGAAATTCCGTTGGCGCGCATTTGATGATACGAAACCGTTGGGTGTATTTGGCGGACTTATTATCGTAGATAAATTTTGCACAACAGTTGGCGGTATTGAATGATAAGCATTCGTTTTAGTTTGCATTTCATTGGTGAATGAATTTTGAGGATGAGTAGGTAGTCGAGAAGGAGCCGGTTTCAATAATGGATATGGACGAGATTGAAGTTGACGTTGTTTTCGATTCGTAGGGACCGGTAAATTCGGGGTTTTTACTGTTTGCGATTGGATTGCTTCCGCAGTTGTATAGTTTGAATAGGTCATTTTCTCATTTGGTGAGATAGATTTCGGCATAGCAGTTTTATTGCATGGTGATGGAAGATAACAACAGGGCAAATGACATACTTGTTTTGCGGATGGCAATATGGGATTAGCATTTTGTTTTCGTCGGAACGACATTGAATTGGAATTAATTGAGCATGGGTGAATGTTTGATAGTGGATAGGATGTTGAAATCATTTTTGACTGTTGATCATGATGACTAGAATTAAGTTCTTTCATTTTTTCATTCGATGATGATAATGTGGAATAAGAATTTCGATAATAAGGATCGTACGGTGCGTGACATGAAGGTGAAGATCGATGCGCATGAGAATAAGGACTTGGAGTTGATTGATTTATTGGCATTGGTAACATAGTATGATTTATTATTTGTCGATGGGACGATGATGAATTTGTTTCGGTTCCTAGAAGTTGAACTTCTCTTTTAGATCATATACATTTGATAAGAATAGCAATCGAGGTCAAAGATTTCTGATTCTACTTCTTTGTTCAAATTCATACGGCACCATATTTTAAATTTTTTTAGTCGGGCTTCACCTCTGCAAAAATGGCTCACTAGCAATATTCGTTTTCTTTTCACACAAATTGTAGAGAGAAATTCTAACTGATAATATCGATCTATCTATCAGTATCTCTATTTACTGTCGCCATTCCTTTAAGTACGATAAATTTCCTTGACTAAAACTGTCATCTTACTTTTTATATTTTGAGCATTTGCATGAACATTTTCTTCAACATCAACAATCAACGGCATCGAATACGTATCACTACTAGTACATTCGATCGAGTGGCTTGCGTTTGATGCGGCTTGCAGCCAATTCATATTTTGTTGTTGATATTTATTCAATGGTAAACTAAATAAATAAGAGAAGATAAAAACAAACTTAGATTAAACACTCAACACGACGAACGATTGACTATGCTATCGTGAATCACCTAAATACATGTCATGAAAAAACGAACGAAATTACTCATGAAACCTAGCCCTACATAGATTCCTGTCAATATTCAAAATTATGAATCATATTGACATGTTTACATCGATATTACACAAACATCAATGTGTTAGCATTCAAATACGAAATTCCCATCGTTGACAAGAGACAGACTTGTTTTATATGAAATAAATGTCAATAGTGAACAGGAGAGTACTATAAGGAGTAGTGAACATGGCCTGACCGATTCGATTGTTAAATCTGAAATCGAAAAAAAATTGATTGTTTTGAATATAAATTCGACCTTCATTTTCAAGGTTTCTTCTTGAATATTATTGCTTTTTTGGTTCGTTTTCCTTTTCCTAAGATATTGTTGAAAGAGATTTTAGCTGAAATTCTTATCTATTTACTCTATAATCTCAAACTACGACTCACAGATATTTACGTCAACATTTTGTTTTGTTATTGCTAATGATAAAAAGCAAAAATCTATTCAAGACCGAATCATAATTGGCATTCTTTATCTACGGGTCGATTGCCGATGTTTTTTGCGTGTCAATAAGAAAAAAAAAAGAAGTAACTAGTAGAGAATACTTTTAACAGTGTTTCTTTAAAATTGTTTCAAAGATTTCGAAGTGCCGTGTCGAATTTAACACATGCATGAAATTCTTTTCTCTTTCGTTAAATAGCCTTATTGCAAAAAAATAAAGAAATAAAAAACAAACCGAGACACCTATTATTGGAAGTTTGTTCTGATTGCAATTGACGATTGGCTTTTTGATCGTTCACCGATATTGGTTTTCGTAAAATTTCTAAATTCGAATTTGAACGAGGAATGAATGCTACTGTTTCATTTGTGGAATCTCCATTACAATTATCATGACTATCAGATGGAAAACAAGTTCTTGATTCCGATTGTGATTCACTTATAAAACGTTTTACACGTTTATGATTTTTATCAGTATCATTGGTTAGATTACGTTTCGCGAGCATTGGTATTGATGTTGCTAAAAGAAAACATGTGTATTTTAACAACTGTTTACTTATGTATATTTCATTTTCTTACTTCTTTCTACGAGCGAACCGGATGGCGGTGTGAATTTTGTATTTGAGAGTTCTCTAATCATTTCATCCATAGGCTTTGCGTATTTTTTTAATAGTTGTTTTAGTTTAGTTAAATACTCGAATGAATTTATTGCTAAAAGATGATAACGTGATGGATTGAGGCTTCTTAAATTAGGATCTTTTTGTTCAATTGAGATTTTTTCTGATAGTGTAGCATCTTTAAGAATATTTCCATCAACTTTTGCTAATAAATACATATATTCATCGAATGTACATAGAGTTGAAAATACTTTTGCATAAAGGTCTTCAACACAATAATAAATTGTGCCCATACGAGCAATTGTTAATATATTCGGTGATTCATCGAATGAAATATTTGAAAGAATAGAACTAGCCGAATTATTATCAGTAGTATGACTGTCTTTATTGTTATTAGCGATCGAATTTGCCGTTAAACGTCTTTTACGTCGTCGTTGAGGTTTGTCTCGCGTACAATTTGAATTCATTTCAGAATTTTGAGTTTTCAATTTTTCTGACCGGTTCGATATTTTTGAAGGATTGCAAGTTTTTTTCAATTTCGCTTTTGATTCACTTGCTAACGGAGTAAGAAGATTTTTAATCTCGATTTCGACTTTTTCTTCTGAATCTTCTGCGAAAAAAACGAAAAACCAAAGTGACTATTTTTACTATCTATTGAAAATATGTACAATGTTACCTGCTGTAGAAACTGGCGTGGAAACAATTTGTTCTGGTGGTTTTTCATTTAATAAAACATGTGCCTGTGGTATCGGCGAACCGAGCAATGCATATTCGTAATCATCATCACCATCGTCGTCATCAAGAACAACTAATAATACTTCTTCTTCAATAGTATCCGTTGCTTCTAAACTCTTATTATCGGTGGTAGTATTGATATTGTCATCTAAACAATAAGGTTCAGCAATTAAACAAACATCTGGCGCCAGTTACTTCCATTATAAAGGTATGATTCTATTGTTGATTTTATCGAGAGAAAAAACATTATATTCACAGTTGACTCCTTCTATATCAACGTTCACTTTATTTCTTTGCAAAAGAAAATAATTTACTCTCACCATCAGCAAGTTGTTTTTTTCTGCTCACTTTATATGCATAAACAAAAAAAGAATCCAATATTTTTTTCCTATCAATTAGTTTATCTTAAGACATCCAAAAAAATTCATACTAGTCAATTTAATTTTCTTTACTTGCCATGCGACATGATTATAATTTGGATGAAAATAATATTCTTCGCAATTCTATGTTGAAAATAAATAATAGAGGCTGCTTGATACGATAATATTAAGTTTCTATTCTATTTGGAATGTTTTCTTTTTTGCAGTGACAAAAATTTTTCTATTCTCCCCTTCTTATACTTTTCACGCATGAGCGACCAAAATGATTATGCTGTTAGAGAAGAGAGTCCAATCAGCATATTTTAGCTTTGCAAACATCAATATTTGCATCGTTTTTACTTCAAAGTATACCTTATCATCCGCTTTTCTGTTCTCATTAAAATATTTTCTTTATACACATATTCGCGAGTCAATAAGATTGATCTATGACAGTTTTTGTTGGTGATTATTTAACGAAGAAAAATATAAACCCTTTTACAAACTGCGCATTTGACTTGTTTTTAGTATCTCTGTTTATTCGCCCACATAATTTGCTACGCATCAAAGAGTACAAAAGCAGTTTCACATATATAAACAAAATTCGTGTCTAGCCACTTAAATAACTTGCGTTAGGAGGGTTGCAGCAAGAAACCATTTTAATCGTTCAACAAACAAACGATTTGTTTTCATATCAAATTTCATTGGCAAACATAACAAAACCTACTCCTCATTGAATTATTTATTTTTTAAGATAGAGATGACGTTTTATATTTATACGCAATTCGGCTTAGTAAGATAAAACGTTTATCTACGACTCTTATTTATCTTCGTACATGCATAACATACGACAAGGATACTCGTTCTTTTTATTCTCGTCTCTATATCATTCGTTTTCTTTTTTCGTATTATATCATCAGCTATGTATTACATAGCATATATACATCATGCGTGGATTCTATAATACCAAAACCTACCATTATGTAATGTACTTTATTCACCGCGAAAAAAAATGATAAGACAAGAAACAACGAATGTAAATGTGTACCCACTAAGTAGCTATAAAAAAATGCAAAACTAATGTCTATGCAACTATCAATCATAATTAGAGAAAAACAGGTTCTCAATTGTGAATCATACACAATATCGAAATATATTAGTTGGGTACAATCCACCCTACAAAAAAAAATATTTTCCGATTCGTCCGTCTCGATAAAACTATAATCAATCAAATGTTCGTTTCTATCAAAATCATAATTAGACTACGTACGGTACTAACGAAGATCGAATTATTTACAAATATAAAAACAAAAATTCACACCGATGAGTGATACAAAAAAGCAAAAGAAGAGTTAGGACACATATACGGGTACATCATACAAATGTTTTGTATGGTTCATGGCATAGTCTAGTTACTAGATTTCGCTGATGCATTTAAACTAATTCTTACAGAAAACTTGATACAATTTAGAGGATTTTGCTATCCGACATTTTAAACTGGACCAATAAATTGACTCAAATGAAAAAACATTTGTAAGAAATTTTTATTTTGATCAAAATTTTTCAAAAAGTTTCCTTCTGCAAAATAAGCATTTCCTGGGCATTTCCTCCTATGAAACCCTTAAATACAAGTATCGATAATATATACGACTAAACAACTATTGATACTGTTTTCAAACGTTAGAAATTTTATAAAATATGCATCCATATTCTAACTTACATCTATTTTTCAATTGCAAAATTCGATTCATGCATAAAAGGCACTCCATTGAGTAGACTCTACAGAAAGCACACAACTAAAAACACGTTAGATAAATATTTACTGTCTCAAACCAAGCACTTGTCGCTATAGCAAAGCGAAAACAAACTCATCGAAATATTCTGAATCAATTTTGTATAGAATGTATTGCTTAAAACCTAATGGAATCTCTTGTTCAAGTGCGAAAAGAATGTATTTTCATTGAATTCAACTACACAACTATACATGATGCATAATGCATCATGTAATATAAACACAAATAATTTGTTATGGAAATGGATTTCGTTAAAAACTATCTGGCATAAAATCTGCAGATTTATTTTCTTCCACTGCACTTTTTATAATCGGTTTGATTCATTTCACATATTCAAATGCAGTTTGTAAATAGATTGTACTGTGTGTCAATAAAATTTTCGGTTAATCTGCACAGAAAAATACGATATATGTGAATCACGATTAGACTGATAGTTTAGGAAAATTGATTTCCAAAGAAAATTTCTTAACGTATAGCTAATGGATATTCGTATTCAGCCTTGAGTTTTAGCATCCAATCAAGATGAAAATGAAGAAAGATAATCTCGAACCTGGCTTAACTTTGGCAAAGATTTTAGCCAAGATAAATTATTTGCAATTGCGTATGGGTCACATTCGGATAAGATTCATAGTGGAGGGTAAAATCAAAGAAGAAATTCAGGGTATTAGAAATTTTCTATTGATATATAGAAACAAACGTGGATAAATTTTATTGAAAATGATCTTGCTCTGAAAGGCATAAATATTTTTGCGAACACCTACGATACAAAATGATTACCTGGAGATAAATTAGATATTTTTTTTTTCTTTAATCATAATTTTCGATATTCTCATCGCTGAAGAACTTGAACTGCTTTTCAAACTTACCATCAATTTTCTTGGACTTCATTGTAACAAGTCAACCTAACTTGTAGTGTGTTGCTTGTCCTTGACTGAAGTGACTGTGATTCACTCTTCTAGCTGTTATTCATACAAAGCTCTGTAGGTTTTGATCTCTTCTTCTCTTATTTACACTTCGTGCGTGCACTATCAATTTGTTCTTCACCAATACATAGTTTACTATCACTACGATCTTGTATGTGTGTACACTGGGAAATTGCATTCTTCATATGTCATTGCCAATAAGCGTGTTATTAATTGTACCCTTTTGATTTGTCCTTCACCTCATATTATTTACACTTTATCAATCAAAGTTCATCTATGCCGCAAAATGGTATATAAGGGACGAGAAAAATACAGTACAGCGCGAGGATGTGTATGTGGGTTTTGAACAAGATGCTTCAATACTTACACCCACGCCCTCGTTTCTCCCTGTGGGTATTCGCCAATTGGCGAAGTTCCGGAAACCCGTTTATTAACCAATCGTTTTCATATGCTAACGCAAAACGTGTCGTTCATTGATGTGTAATAGGAGTTATATGGTTTAGCACATGCTGCAGTGGACTCATGAACTCAGAAGATTCAAATAAAAAATGGCAGCGAATCAACAAATCCGTTGTTCAAACGAGAGAAAAAACATTCTATCTCAACGATAATTTATATTTTGATATCTCACTTATTTTCCTGAAGAATTCATTCGTCGAAAGAGTAAGGGTTGCTGTTTATTAAGGAAAGCAGCTGAATTGTACCATTGATTTTTAGAATATATTGCAAATATTATGTTTAATAATTGATGCACCCAACAAAACTATGACTGATTCGGCATGACTACGATTAGTCAATCTGATCAAATAAAGATAAGCACGCCCCCGGAAAATAGAGTATCATGGTCTTATGAATCACTTTGGAACAATTTTTGACTCGTATTTATCGAGACAAAGTTTTTTCCGAGTGCCATGTAACATCATAGAACATTTAACAATAGATTATGTTTAATTGATGAAATATGTTAAATCGTTATTTTTTGTTTTCTGTATCAGTCTGCCATCTGTACACAGTGTTTTGTGTAGTAATGATTTGTCGATCCTAGTGACCATTTCGGCTCTGAAATATTCAAAAGCCTTTTCAAGTTTTGAGGTAATTCCATTGCAATTAAAATTTATACTATTTGAACACTATAATATATACGCTCATATTTTCATTTTAGGTCTAAACATCAAATCACCATCTCTACCTCTTTGCTTTAATCCACAATGACGGATGCTAATATTGTAAGATGATTTGAAATTTCTTTATCTTGTTTTTAATTTCTGATTAGATAAAAATTAATTTTGTATCATAAATTTGTAAAATTCAGTTTTCTTCTCTAATTTATAGCATCCATCCGTCATATTAATTCGTGATCGTTTACGTGATATATTTCCTGATGTAAAACTTCCTCTTGAAGTCATCGGATGGCATATTCGTCAATCGACACCCATCGAAACTATCTGTTCAAATATCGCTACAGAAATTCTTGTCTACGGTCAAGCAGTCGATCCACGAAAAAGTCAAGCCGAAGAACATACAGCTTCCAACGTCCCTACTACAATATCAACACCAATAGCCACAACCAATGACGACACTCTTCAAACACTCTATGATGTATTCAATTCTATTCCTCGTGACCACATAGACAATGCCTATGCTCGTTTAAAAAATGCGAATAATCCAAATTGGTATGATGATATCGTCAACGAATTATTGTCCTATGACGGAGACAAATCTGCAACAAATAAACGATCAACTGACCAAATGATTGTCGATGATATATTTGTTCCCGATGAATACAATCGCTTATTTGCTGTTCTACCTGATTTGGATCCTGATTATGCATTACAACGTTACATGCAATATCTTGAACATTCATCTAGCAAACCCGATTTGAATGTATTAATAACAAATCTTATCGAACATGGTTATGTTAAATTAACTGAAAAATTGGAACGTTCACGTAATGAAAGATTAAAGCAAAATTTACGCGAACCAAAATTTGAAATTAATGAGTTTCTGAAAACATTCCCAAATCCATTAGAATATTTTTATGATCGAACAAAAAATGTTTCCGAATCGTACAAATCACATGCATTTATTTATTTAGCCAATGCATTTGCTCGTGTGCCGATTGGACATATTCGCGAAATATTAAGTAATCATAATTAGCGTTTTGCACCAGCTATGAAACAATTACAAGAAGAATTTCAAGCGTATCATATTAATCAACGGAAAAAATCAAGAAATTGTAATTAACGCGAAATAATTCGATTCCTTTCTCTAGACTGTCTATTTATTTAGCTACTTCGCAGGCGCTCAAACATCGAGCACGTGTTCCAATGGCAATTCCTGATGTACCAGATGAAATTTTTTATAAAGTAAAAGCATTCATTTTTTTTTATCAAGCTTTTTTTTCCTTTTTAACGCATTTATAGGAATTGTGCTTCATAAAACACGAGGATGAAATCATAGGTAAGCAGAAGAAAGCCATGTGCGTGTTAAGACACTATTGACCTCCGAAGCTGCCTGAAAGGAGGAGAGAAAAAAAATAAGCAAGCGCATTATATATATTTTTATTGACAAATAGAAGCCCGTGTATTTATCATGTCGTCTAAAGAAATTGATGTTGTGAGTGTAGATGAATTCGATCCTCGGCGTGCATTGGGCCTTTGGCATATTCTTGCGACCAATCTTGATATGTGGAAAACTAAACTAGCACCAACAATCACATATTCGATTCACGATGAATTACCCGATGGTCGTATTCGTATTAATGATCTTGTTGAATATTATACAAAACGACTTTTTGCTGGTTTTGCACCGGCAAGTATTAAAGGCATTGACACGCAATCAGCAAATAAGCCAAGTCGTTTTCAATGGCGAGGAAATGGTCTATTGAAATTATTTACCAGTGACTTTGGCATTATTTTTGTCGATAATGAAACACCTGCGAGTCAACCGTATCAATGGATTGGAACTATGTTTAGTTCTACATTGTTTACACATGCTGGAGTTGATTTAATGACACGTACGCGGCAACCACCCGAACATGTACTAAATCATTTTGTACAACTTTGCCAAGAAAACTCGATTGTACGACCGATATCAAGAGATATTTTTTATACACGAGAAAAGATCGAGGAGACTATTATTTTTATAAAAGATCTTGAGAAATATTGATATTTTGTCTTTTAACCTTTTTTGTCATTTTTAGAATATTTAACACAAAAACAAGAACTACACGATGAACAAATTCGTATTGCATCCGAGAACGGTACACTTCAAACTTGCGATTGCTGTTGTGATGATCAATTGCTTGATGATGATATGATTAGTTGTGACAATAATCATCGATTCTGCCAGTAAGTATTTCTACGAAGATCTCATGTTTTAGTTCGGGCATTGCAACTTCTTTACCTTAGAACATGTATACGGAATTATATTGAAACTGGTTTTATAACAAATGGTGAATGCTTTTTTACGTGCTTGAATCCAACATGTAAATATGAATATTCAACATCACTAATGAATCAATTACTTGCACCGACACTTTTCTCTCGTTTACTGATTAAAATTCAACAAGAAGAATTACGTTTAGCAAATATCCAGAATTTCGAACAATGCAGATATTGTACATTTGGGACAAGTATGGTAACATTTCTTATTTATCGATGAGCTGAACCAGTAATTACAGAATTCTGTAATGTTTGTTTTGTTTATTATAGTTATTGATGATCCTCATGAACGTGTCTTTAGATGTTTAAATCAAGAATGTTTGAAAGAAACATGCCGTGCTTGTGGTGAACCGAATCATATTCCATTACGATGTGATGAAGTTGAAAAGAAAGATGAATTAGATATGAGAACATTTATTGAAAATCGGGTTTCGGAAGCAATGATTCGAGTTTGTTATAAATGTAAACAACGATTTTATAAACTTGAAGGTATAGCAATTTAAGAACCCTTGTAAATATGATTCTTTTCGATTCATTAGGTTGTAATAAAATGACATGTGCTTGTGGTGCTTCTATGTGTTATGTTTGTCGTCAGCCGATTAAAGGTTATGAACATTTTAATAATAATGACAAATGTGGAGCTAATATGGATGCTATCAAACTACATCAAGAAGAAATGCGTTTAGCCTATGAAGAGGCGAAAAAGGTTTATGTCGAACGACATCCAGAAACAAGAGATTTAGTACTTAAATATGATCCACAACAACATATTGATGGAAAACCACCGAAGTAAGTTTCATCAAAATAGACGAAATCATCTCGAATGTGTTTACGTGCAATATGACGCAGTAGAGAAATGACATCTATATTTTTTGAGTTCGATTGGGTTAATTCAAGTAATTTATTTTCATTATTCTATTTTAGGGATACAAGAAAGCCGAAGCGTCGCCGACGTTGACATGAATAGCCTGTGAACAGTTTTTGAAATTCTATTTTTTTCCTTCTTGTCAGATAACCTATAATTCACTGCGATGTTATTTTATTGTATTTAAGAAATTGATGAAAAATTCCAAAATGTTACTAATTAAAAATAAATGAAAAAGGTTTTGAAAATTTTCCTTATCAATCATTCTAGATGCCCGGTAAAGAATTAACAGCGTGGCTGGATGAGTATGGTCTATCTCATCAAAATCCAATCAATATTCTCATACACAAAATATGTGTACCAACAATAACAGTCACTCTTCTTGCTATGCTCTGGTGTTTGCCAATCATACCGAAAACTATTCGTAATACAATATCTATTGGTCAAGTTGGTCTTCTCAATCCTTCGCTTATACTCGTACCAGTATTTGCTTTCTATTGGAATCTTTCGTCTCCGATGGCTATAGCAATGGCAGTTCTATTTGTTATAGTCATGGGTTTTTTGGTATTCTTAGAAAAAAATAATGTACGAATATTTCGTTTAGCATTGATTGTTTTTATCCTTGCTTGGATTGGACAATTCGTTGGACATGAAATTGAAGGAAAAAAACCAGCATTTTTCAAAGATTTACAATTTCTTTTAATTGGTCCTCTTTGGACATTGGCTCACGCATTTCGTTACTTCGGCATTGACTATTAATTAAACTGTAAAAATCTCTTGTAGTTTTTTTTTTACATACGCAATAAAATATTTTGTTTCGCGCGTATCATATATTATATGGAAGAATTTCATAGTGAAATAAATCAATTACGTTCGAGTTCTCAACAACTTGAAAATGTTGATGTAAATCGTTTTGTCGATGAAATTGAACAGATTGGTTTGTTAATCATCTATTATGAAAGAACGATTTTCATTTGAAACCTTCAGGTCAACAGTTGAAAACGTCAGAAGAATTTCTTCTAAAAGAAATTCAACGTTTAAGAAACGATTTAGACGCAAATCATTCGAAACTTAACTATGCTAATGAGCTCCGAGAAATCGATGCAAAAACATTGAAAACATTTAGAACTAAATTTCAAGATTTAAGGCAACTACTAGTTGATGTTAAAAAGAAAGAAACGAATGCATGGCATATCGTTCAGGTGAAGAGAAAAAGAGAGAAGACTTGCAAGTGTATTATTTTCTTCATCCGTAGATTCTTCGAGTGAACACTTCACGTCTATGGCACATCTTCGAAGCAGCAGCTGGTGTTTCAGCTACTGACAAATTGATTAATGGCAACTTAGAAAAAGTTCTTAATTCTGCTCAAATAGAAAAAGACGAACAAACAACATGTTTAATTCTACTAGAAAAAGAACATGGCGATTTGCTAATCAAAATGAAAGAAATTCAATTATCCGTCGAACATTTTCGTACAACAATTTTAGAAATAACAAAAAATACAAATGAAACAAAACTAAAGATAAAAAAACAACAACAAATCAATGATCATATTCATGAACAATCATCGAAACGAATCAATCATTTGACTCTTAACATAGAAGATGTTCAAATTTTACTCGTTGATTATAAATTTCTTATTAATGAAATACATGATTTAGTAAAGTTAATATTTCATATTCAAACACAAATTGAAATTCATAATAAAACAAAATTTCTTCAGCAAACAAAATTAGAAAAATATAAACAAGATCTATCATTAAAAACTCTCAATCGAACTAAATATGAAAATCAAATATTCAATTTACAAAAAACGATTCATCAACAAAATCAAAATTTCCAACAATTAAAAAATCAACAAAAGAAAATTATTGAAAATCGTCAAGAACTCTATAAACAAATTGATACTCTTGAAATAGATAAAACTCAAATTTTAACCAATCAACAACAACTAATCGACACTATTAAACAATCGAATTTAAAAACGAATTTATTAGACAAGGAAATTTTTCATAAAAATCATACCATTCAAAATTTACAATATTCCTATAGAAAATTATTTAAAGATTGCAACAAACAGCAAAATATCACAAATCATTTGCAGAGAACATGTTTGTAGCTATTAAATTCTACTCGGTTCTAGTAGAGAACGTTTTGCAACTGTTTCCAGAAAAGATTAGTGGTTTTCTCGAACGAAAGATATCTCCTATCTCCAAGAGCAATACTACTTTTTTTTCTCGATAACATAAGCTAGTAATAGATTATTCTATCTCTCTCTCTCTCTATAGCTCAAGCAAATCAACAAAATTTACAAACGACGAAAATTGAGATAGACAAATTCACTGAACAAGTTCAAAAACAAAATTATCTTATAAACTACAGTGAAGCTGAATTAGATTCTCATACAAAAGAATTACAAGATCTTGAAAATTGCTTATCCATAACGCATGAAGAACTAAGTGATCAACGTACAAAAGTAAATGAAAGTAAAACTAACGTAAGATTACTCAAACACAAATTACATAAAATCATCGGTGATGAAAAGCCATTAGCAAAAGAAATATCACAGTATAGAAAACAAGTTCTACAAAACGAAACTAATTCTATTCAATTAGAATTAAATCTAAAACAAAACGAATCGAAAATTAATCATTATAAAAAAATCATCGGAAAATTAGTATTTGATTCTAAACAAAATGACGATATTCTTATGCGAGAAAATGTATCATTAGAAAAATGTCACCGTCAAATAAATCAATCAAAAGAAAATATAAAGATATTAAATAAAAATTTAAAAAATTCTGAATCTAATTATCAGTCTTTGAAAGAAATATTTTATCAGGCAGAAAATGAAAATAGACTATTGAAACAACAATATAAAGATTTAACTTTCGTCATCGAGTTACTTGGATATCGACAAGCAACTATCAATAATAAATTAGGACCTTTATATAGAACAGTAGAACAACTTACTAAGCAGCATGTTGATCAAGGTAAAGAATTAAATGAGACTTTCAATAGTCTCATGGATAATTTTGTTATTATTCGAAATCTAAAGTTTTATTCTAGTGAATTCAATTGAACAGTCAAAATTTGATTTTAACATTCTACAGAAATACGATTCTTATTTACGTTTGCATAATCAACGGCTGCGCGAATCGATCTCATTCAAATCTCAACAACATAATGAATATCTGAAGTCTCAGAGCATTTCTAATCAATCGAAAAATTTTCAAAATCAATTGCAATCACAAATGAATAAAAATCCTAATCATATTCATTATTGGCATATACTGATGGCAAGTTCACCGGATAAATTCAATAATATATCAAAATTATTTTTGATCAAAAAGAAAATCGTTCATAAGACCAATGAACTTGTAAAGCTAAAAACGTTCTTTCGTGAAAAAGAAATTTTATATCACTATCTTAATCAAATTTATGAACGAAGAGAAAAACTTCGTGAAAAAAATAAATGTTAAATAAATAAACAAAAAATCTGTCTTGAGGGTGTGTGGGTGTGTAAATGGTACATGAAAACCCACACACCACTCACACCCTTCGAGACCATCTGTATTTAATGCGGATAATACGAAGACTTGGACAAATTCAAAATCCGACTTCACTGCCTCTTTCGAATCACAACCAGCTACGTTGTGGGCATATACGTGCAATTGAGCACTCATCAACAAGATGAGCGACTATTGTCAAAGATAATAACATTTGGTGCACGAACAAACAAGAAAAACTTGTAGAACTTATCTTCCTATTCAATTCAATATAAATAAATTTAACCGAACAAAATTTATTCATTTCACACATTTCTACATATCATATATGATTGTTTTCGTCTATATATATTTTATTGTCTTACAACAATAAACATAACAATTTTCTTTGATTTCATTTAATTTAATACTTTATTCATTTGTCTTTCAAACTACTCCTAAATAATGTATCTTTGCAAAAGGAAAATATTCTTTTAAAGCAGTGTGCAAACATTTTGTTACATCGCATAATTTTAATTCATTTATTTTGGCACAATTGATTCGTGTAACTTTTCTTGTGAAATTGCGTGTTACTCGTTGTAAAGATTCATACGGAATACAGAATAATTATATTTTTTTAAATACATTTTAGTATCAAATAAAAATTGCTCTATATAATCATCATCGATAACAAGTTTAGTAAGAAAAGAATATTGAATAACAGATAAATTTGGATTATCACTGCTTGATTCATAGAATTGTTTTTGATTTTGTGATTTATGATTAGTCAAATATAATTCTTCCAAAAACGGAAATGATTTCTGAATTCGAACAAAAAATTCATGTCCAAAAGGATGTTCATCAAATAATGAAACGACACGAACATATTGAAATAATCCACCTGGAAAATTATTTGTGATATCTGGATAGTGTTCCATTAAGAACGGATATGAGTAAATATGACATTGACCTTGTTCTGCTTCGGGAAAATAATCAACATAAGAAATTATTTCATTAGTAGGAAACCCAATGAATGTGTGTTGAATATCTTTTGTTGATGGTAAATTCAATTTATTACGGATATACATATGTGAAATAATAGAAAATGTAAATTGGTTCAATCGTGACATACGGTTAATAATGTTTCTCTTCAAATGGTTTCCATCAATAAAGGCTTGCTCAACATAAACTAGAAGATACAAACCGAGTTGTTCTAGATTGGACATTCGATAGAGAAGTGGTAGGATTGCTTCATTACAATCAGATGTTCTGAAATCGCACGATAGAGAAAAATTCTTCAGATTTCGTATATCACCCTAAAAAGCAAGACTTCTTTTTACTCAACAATGTAGAAGCTTTTCTAAAAACGAACTTGAAGCAAATTAACATTCGATGTTAAAAGAGTTGAAGAATGAAAAGTAAGATGTAGTGAATCATTAAAACGTAATCGAACACAATTTTTGTACGATGATTCCCGTAATGCTAGAGCATTTAGACGGGTGAGTACAGTCAAGATGCCATCAAATATTTTTGCCGCTGACGATAGCATATCGTCGTAACTTTCAAAATTTTTATCAATTGCAATAAAAAGTGTTGTTATCTGATTTTAAAAAATACCAGGCGAAAGACTTTCATCTAAATATATAGAACAAAACATATTAGTAAGAAAAAATCTATGAAAATAAATAGTATGAATATATTAAATGAACGACGCCATCTATATTGATAAATTTACGAATCTTCCATTTGCTTTGAATAAAAACAACTTGCCAGTAAAAAGACATCGAATTGATTCTTCGTCAATATTATAAAGACCAAGAACATGCAAATTAGGATAAGCGACAGCACGCAAAACATGCTTCATAGTTGATGATTCAAGATCAAGCCGTGCGGTTTTATCGTGAATTTCAGGTAAAATTTGTAAACAAAATCGATCAAATATCATATCACAAGAAAATACATGGATAAAATCATGTAATGACCATTAAACAAAAGTCAAACAACTTGTAAAAATTGAAGCATGAATAATTTTATTTAGTTGTTGATTGACACCTTGTAACATCTATTACTTGAATGAAAACGTATAGATTTTGAGAAATCACTATATTTATCTGGCTGAACGACGATGAGGAATTTTCAAAACACTATTTTTTCGATCATCGATTGACCCTACTGGAGAGTATTTATGTACGTGCATCGGGCTTGGTGCTGGGAGGACGTCGCCTGGGGTCCAGAAACCACTATGTCTCATTCTTGGTACAAAAATATAAAGGAACTAAAAATGTGGCGTTAGACAATATCATTTTGAATGCAATTGAAAAATTGCCATTTAATGTTGAAAAGTATCTCGGCACGGTGGTCAATCTAGAAACTCTCTTAAAGAAACTGATTACTGATAGGAATTGGGCTGATTTCGATGGAGGTTTATAGAAATTCGTTATTTTTCCGGAGGATTCTTCCATCATCGAGAAAATCTGTTACTCAATCATACACTAATGGGCAAACTTTTCAACCTTTCTGCAAGACTAGAAGGACTTAAACTGATTTTCATGCATATATTCTACTCTTCAAAAGTGAGAAAAGAATGTTAAACGCATTTCTTAGAGAATACAATCGCCACTCTTTCTTTCTACATCAGTATATTTGACATAGGTCAATGGACTGTATTGCTTAGGGGAAAAAATTCTTTGAAACTTGTGTTATTTCATATGCATCGAAAAGCAGCCAGAAAATATGTTATATTCTTTTATTAAGACTCTAAAATGTTTGTTCACTACGCAAATATATGTTATCAGTGTTGTTTTTCTTTTTGCCCTCGTCGTTGAATTTAGCAAGAGATAAACTATGACAAATTGCAGAATAGTTTTTCTGTTGAAAAAATGAAGTGGCTCATCGTTTTTCTTTCCTCGTTTATTATTATCGTCATAGCAGATCGACATTTAAATGCCAATGGGCCTTTTGGCAAACGTCACATGATTCATGATGAACCAAGTCCACATGCGTGCAATCCACTTGACGTTGATGGCATATTATCTCCTTCTACTATATCCAGTTTGAATGTATCTACGACGATCTATTCCAGCAACGAACAAATCAATGTCACTTGGACACCAGTAGAACATTCGTGTAAAGATGATTTCATTGGCATTTATTTTGTTGAAATTCCTCTTACTGCAGGTAGAGTGTCGCTTCTGTATGATTTATAAAAAAAGAAAGCTGATAAATTGTTTTTAGCTTGTGATTATTTTGACTATGAATTTGTTAAAAAAGAGCAAAATAATATGTCATGGCAAGTGATTAATCTTCGTCGTCCATTAGAATTTCGTTATTATTCTCGTGATCATATTTGCTCAGGCAATTATTCAATCAGAGCAACATCTTCCATTATTCAACCACTCAATTATAATGAGCCCACACAAATTCATTTAGCATATGGTGATCGGATTGATCAAATTTATGTTTCATATATAACAAACTCATCACAATATATTCCACAATGTCAATATGGATAAAATCCATCGTCTTTAATTTTTCGTCACTATGGAACAATAACAGCTTATACAGCATCAGACATGTGTGAAGGAAAAGCTAATACATGGGGACCACAGGCATTTATTGAACCAGGATATATGCATACAATTCTATTAGAAGATCTTCGCCCGTCAACAACATATTTTTATCGTGTTGGAACTGATGAACATGGATGGCCATCCATCTATTCATTTACAAATCGTCCAGCAGATGAAAATGAAGCGGTAAATTTAATAGCCATATGGTGATATGGGTCTATCACCTGTTGAACCTGGTGCTAAATCAACTATCGATCGTGTTACAGCTCGAGTAGCGTCAACGAATGTTACTTGTTTATTGCATATTGGTGATATTAGTTATGCTCGAGGTATTGGTGCTTTATGGGATGGCTTTATGACTCAAATCCAATCAATAGCAGTTCATGTACCTTACATGGTTAGTATTGGTAATCATGAATATGATTATGAAACAGGAGGAGATAAAGATCCAAGTGGTGCACCAGGTCCCGGTGGATTTAGACCGAAATGGTGAATACTTTTGTTTAATAAACTGTCAAATATAACTTTATTTAATTTTAGTGGTGATTATGGTCGTGATTCAGGTGGTGAATGTGCTATACCAATGGTTCGTCGTTTTCATTCTCCATCGAATGGCAATGGCCTTTTTTGGTATAGTTTTGATGTTGGACCAATTCATGTTATTTATATTTCAACAGAACATGATTTTCGTCGATCATCGATTCAATATTTATGGCTTGAAAAGGATCTAAGTTCTGTCAATCGTTCTCGTACTCCATGGTTAATTGTTGGTTCACATCGACATATGTATACATCTGCATTCGATTCCGCTCGTGAAACTAGAATGAGACTAATGGTTCAACTATATTTGGAATCATTGTTCTATCGATATCATGTTGATCTTAATCTATTTGCTCATCGACATTCATATGAACGATCATGTCCAATGTTTCAAGGAAAATGTATTGAGGATGGTATTACACATGTATTAATTAGTATGGCTGGACAAAGTTTAGATTCTGATATATATATATTATCCTGTTGTATGGAGTAAATATCATGATCAACAATTTGGATATACAACTATATTTGCAAATAGAACCTGTTTGCACTTTTCCTATCATCATAGTCGTGATGATAAAATTGTTGATCAATTTATACTTCAGAAATAGTATAATAAAAACGCTTGTTTTATTGAGATATAATTGAGGGCGTTTCTAAAATTCTTTTCAATCTGATCAAAACAAAAAATTGAAGGTGTGGGTGTGCGTGCATGAATATAAAATGGACACTACAAACCCACACCCACACCCCATCAATCAATTCAGTTAGCAATACAAACCTTTCCATTCTTAGCTTCGTATTAACCGATAAATGACGGGAATGTGTGTTTTAACCAAATATATTCGTTTCTAACGGGTGTTCCATAATGAATGGCCAACTCAGTGTTTTTTGAATAGCTTTTTCGTCGTTTTTTCTCTAGGCTTAAATTCCCCCACAAAGATCCGCCATTCAATTCTCTACAAGACTTGTATCACAAGCTTTTCTGTCGAAAGGTAAGTGAAATTTATTTAAAAATGAATACTAAACACGTGTGAAAAGATCGACTTTCCAAGTCATTTTGTTAAATAAACTTCGGAATATTTTTTACGGTTGTACATAAAATAAAACCAAAGTGAAGATGTTTCTGAGTACTTTGAAGTGTGCTCTTTCTCTATATGTAGCTCAGAATCCGTTGAAATCGCATTGAAGATCATAAAAATCTTGCTTTTAAAATCTTATTCGAAATGGCTAAAATACAATATTTTTCGCCACCTGAATTGAATACAACAATTAAAGGCTACGTTTCCTCTCTGAATCTGATATAGTAGTCACTTTCCATCAAAATGAAAAAAATCTCGAATCCAAACGATGCTATTTTGGCTAAGTTATACCTCGTTTTTCAGGAGTACCGAAACCACTGTTTGAGAAAGCTAAATTCTCGAAACTTTGAAAGAAAAGATGCACGTAATACCCCGTAAGGATGAGCGCTAAAATTTTCCAATGAGGATCTATCAATCGAGCTTTTCAAAGGCTACAAAATTACTATATTGTTTATTTTGTGATTCATCAGTGGCTAAAGAAAAACGCTGAAAAAAATATTTTTCAGCTTTGAGAGTTGGTCTTTTTATACGGGTTGAATATTTCCTCAAAAAACATTTTCTCTTACCTTTCGACAGAAAAACTTATAATACAAATCTTGTAGAGAATTGAATGGCGGATCTTCGGGGGAAACGTGAAGTCTAGTGAATAAAAAATGAAGAAGCTATTCAGAGAACATTGAGCTGGTCATTCATATTGTAACATCCGTTATGATCAGGAAGAAAAATTAAAAATTCGGATGGATCTTCTTCTTGATCAAGTACGAAGTTGGACGATAATTTTCTGATGTGTTGGAGCCTTGAAATAGGTGATGCTTGAAAATGGTCAGAAAAAAATGATGACACGTATTGTGAATATTTCGGTGAATAACTTTGATAATTGAACGAAGAAGACAACATAAACAAAATTCATCATTTATTGTCGATATGCTTATACAAAAAAATAATAACTTCAGCATTATATTCTTTAAAAATTGAAAATCACACTTCTCTTGCGAAAAAACGTCATAACTGAAAGAATGACACTGTAATTCCCTAATAATTTATGTTAACTTATGTATATTACGACACTATCTTTGAAAGCATTAGTATGTCTGTCTATGAATAATTTCTGATTAATCGTTCAAGATATATAATTCTTTTCATTTCTTTCTAACTTATCAATGTGAGATACATTCTCGACATAGTCGAGATAATGTTAATGAAACAGTATGATGAAAAATTTGCTTTAAACCTTTCATTGGCAGCACGCTTCTTGAAGTACTTCCCAGGTCGATGTTCCTACAATACGAGTATAGATTGAGATAGAGAAAAGAACAATAAAACTAAAAGAGAAAAATCATTTGTCTCACCACTAGAATTTCAAGTGTGCTATCTTTGTCTGAACATAATCGGTGTGGACGAAATATTTCTTTCCAAACATTTTGTATGAAAACAAATAAAACTTTATTCGGCTTACTTTTTCCAAATGAAATATTTTCTAGAGTAAAGAAGAACATACAATGTTTTTGTCTAAAACGAGAATGATTTCTAACTGTTAGATGCAGAATCAAAGTATGTGTATAACGAATTCGATTTTTAGATCAAGTGAATTATAATTGTTCAATTATCAATTGATGAGATTGGTGATCGAGTAAAATTCATTTCAGTTGAAAGATTCTACAACAAAAAAAGAAATGAAATCGTGAAAATTGAAATTATTTTACATCAACTGCATTAGTAATGAGGTGCAAATAATTGAATCTTTTTTGTGGCTCATCTTCGTTTCAACTCATGACAGTACGAAATAAATTAGCTGCGATTCTGTTAGGATTTTGGCTGCTTTGAATATCACGTATAACTATAAATGAAACGTTATGTGCAACAACCATTAGTACAGAATTAGCAACTTAAACGATGTATGAAAGAAATAGAATAAGTACACGTGCAAATTTTTATTTAGAATTTTGTACCAAATCGTTTCTTCAGATTTTCTCGATCACCATACCGATCCTTTTCAATTTGATAGGAATGAATACGATGCATGTGTGACATCAAATAAATTATTGGCATTTCACCAAATTCGTTTCATGCGTCACGATCAAGAACTATTGCAGACTTGTTGTGAATGCGTTGATCGAAATGTAGTTAATCATTATATTTCAAACTATTGATATTGATGGTGCAAGCATTCGTTGGAATCATTGTGACTTCTTATATCTACCATCTAAATTTTATAGAAATAAATAATAACTGAAAAAGATATTGGGTATAGTTTGAAGAGAAAAGGATTAACGAAGCAAAGGCGAGTAGAATAAGTCATATATGGCAGCTGTCAACATAGTTTTTAATAGGAATTTCAGAGCATAATCAAGTACCAATTGTCCAATCACAAAGTACTATGCTTCAATAGTATGTTTTCAGTGAAAAACTATTTCAAAACATCACAACAGATAAGCAATAAAAAATAAATACTGATACTAATAATATTAATACCAGGTCGTTCATTCCTACAATCGCATCCAATCGGATCTGAAAATGGGTTGCATCGGATCTTACATGAAAACCGACAAGAACCAACAGATTCCATCGGAATCCGATACATATCCGATTGTATCCTACTATGGAATCCGATGCGCCAAAAGTCTGCTATACTCAACTTCTAAAAAGCTCTTTTGCACTAAATAGAATTTTGATACTTTTTAAAATTCTTCCGTCGGATCCGTCAATAGATCCAAAATCCAGAATCCAACTGAATTTCTTCGGTTAGTAGGATGTTTTAGGATCCGATAGAATCCGGCGTCGGATTAGTCGACTTGGGTTGTACAAGCTTCAACTGGTCATTTGCAACATTTTCTTCGTCAACGCTTGTTTGATAAACATTGGCGTTAGACAATAATCTTTTCTTCGACGCTTGTGAACTCATCTATAACATAATGTAAACTGAACGGAATTAGAATTAATTTACACAGAAGCCGCCTTTTGTATATATGGCCCCAATCACACTAGAACTTTAACTTAATCATCATGTATAACAGGTACATTGCTTTATTCCGTCCGTTGAGAAAATAGAAAAAGAGGTCGCTCGATGATACCCAGGTCGATCAAGACGGACCACCGTAAAGCGGCGTAATATTACTGTAAACGGTCGTTTTTGCATCGTATTCCGTCGTAAAACGCCCGTTTTAAGCCGAATTAAGGCGTTTTAATAGGGGCAGTATTACGGCCATACTCGGGCACCGTATATTAGCCGTAAAGCCTCGTAAAGCCGGCGTAATATTATCGTATTCTATAGAACATACGGCCGTATTACTGCCCCTGTTATACGGGGGAAATACGGCACGTAAAACGGGCCGTATTTGTATCGTATACGGCCGCTTAGTGATCGTTTTCTTCGACCGGGGTAGTCGCTATAATGAATTCTTTAACTATTAATAATATATTATGGAAAAGTAAAACAGAAAATCGTGTCATCATGTAGTTTTGCAGGATTCTGTAATATATTTTAAATAATATCACCCTAGTCGAACATCTTGTAAGCAAGATCTGGGAGTCTTGGGATCGATAAGTAAGATCTTATAAAGATCTTAAAAAGATAATTTGTATGTACATATCTTGGTTGTATCAGATAAATCCGTACTTAAGATCTTGACAAGATCATGAACAAAAATATCGTGTACTATTATCTTCCGATAAGATCTTGAGCGAAACAGAAAGCGACATCATTAGTGTATTTACATGCTCTCTAGTCATTCACTGTTTTTTAAACGCATGCACAGCTGTATATAAACAGCATGCTTGAACATACGAAATACAAATTTTCAAAATCTTTTTTTCTCAACTATTTCTCGATTATTTGAGAGAATGCTAATCTCGATCGATGATCGAGAGAGGACTTCCCTAATTGGTCCGTCTGATATCGGACCAATTTATAGCCAGTCAGATCCCAGCATCTGACTTGCTGGAATTCGGAAGAGGAATAATTAAAATGAAAATAAATTGAAAAAATATTGAAGAATGCAGCAGGCATTATTTTAGTGTATATCCAAGATTTAACGGATTCTTATGTAAGATCTGTAATTAGATCTTGGTTACAAGATAACTGTATTATCTTGTACCTGAATTTCCAAGATCTGTTAACATATCTGTACCTTGTATCTTGACCAAGACCTTGCTTACAAGATGTTTGTCTAGGGCTAGTGTATTTCTGTCGGAAACTATTCATTAGACTATTGTCCAGTGGTGCAAAAATATATTATTCGATTAGCGCATATCAATGCTATATGTTGTAAAGTATGTGGATGGTCTTGAGAAGTGAATGAAATACGTCAAACAAAGAAATGCGGCTAAGTTCAGATATTCGTATCACACAATACAATTCGAGTGTACAGTTTCCCACAATTTATCGTTTATTTTTCTTTCTTTTCGATGATAGTTACTCATTTTATCAAGCCAATTCAAAGGTTAAACAGCAATACTCAGCTCGACTAATCCGACGCCGGATTCTATCGGATCCTAAAACATCCCACTAACCGAAGAAATTCAAATGGATTCTGGATTTTGGATCTATTGACGGATCCGACGGAAGAATTTTAAAAAGTATCAAAATTCTATTTAGTGCAAAAGAGCTTTTTAGAAGTTGAGTATAGCGGACTTTTGGCGCATCGGATTCCATAGTAGGATACAATCGGATAATATCGGATTGGAATCCTACAGATCCGAATCTCGGCCCGAAACCCGGAATCTGATGGAATCTGTTGGTTCTTGTCGGTTTTCATGTAAGATCCGATGCAACCCATTTTCAGATCCGATTGTAGGAATGAACGACCTGGGAAGAAAAATTTATACGACTTCGATATTAAAGATTCATTAATTACTACCAATAATGTTAACGATGATATGGTGATAGTGAACTTTTTTGAAAAGCATTTTCTTCGTTTAAAATGATGTCGTGTTATATCAGAAGAAGACATTCAGTCTACATTCAATGAATCAATAAAAGATTTATTTGCTACATTTAATGTGTGTACATCATTGAATTATTTAAACACAAGTCGGCTTCAATATCTAAAGAACAAAGTTCCAGATTGTACTTTTACCTGCAAAAATATTAATATGGATATGGATGTCGAACACCAGGCTTTACAAGATTTCGTCATTTGTCTCGGTGAATTAAAACGATCAAAGAGCGCTATTGTTACTGATATTGACAATGAAATCTGGATTGAACAAATAACGCGTTATTTACATCATGTATTAGATGCGCAAAACCGTGATGAAATCTATGGATTTTTAACAAATCTTGATTCTATAAGATTTTATCGTGTTGAAAGTAGAGCCCGTTGGGTCATAGTATTTCCGAACCCAGACCCGGACCCGATAAATCAAAAAAAAATTTGATCCAAATATAATTGATCGGTCAATTACTTTTTCGATTCCAATTCTACTCATGAGAATGTTAAGATATTTTTTAATTAACTTCAATAGATATTTTGAAAATACAATGTTTTTCTTTAATTTTGTGTTCGACTAAGAGCCGCCGACTAATAGCACATTCTAATATTTACATAATTCATTAATAATCTATAAAAATGAGGAACATCGGATTCGCATCCGACTGTTACGTGTACTGCAAAAACTGAGTCAATTTATATATGTTGTGAATAATTCTGAGAAAAAGTTTTTTTTTTGAAAAAATCCCTGTATCCCCCCCTCGGGGATGGTCTGGTCAATGCTGACAATTTTTTCGATAGCTCAGCCATTTCTTGACGGATCCTTCTCATCTTCGAACTCGACTGAGATATTAATGAGATCATTATGTGTACACAGTTTCATGACAATTGGATGAAGCTTTCCAAGGTTATCGTGTTACCGGCCGGACGAACACACTGACCGAATCTAGTGTACTCACTTTTTTTTGAGTACACAAAAATTCAATTATAATTGGTTCTTTTTCTTAGCCAATTACTCTTGGTAGAAGAGACAATGTACGCAATAAGTGTTTGTATTATTTCTTTTGTTAGGTAAGTATATGATTACGAACAGGAATTGATTTGCTTTTTAATGTGTATAAAGGGACCTATTTTATATTTCTTAAAGATGGAAATTTAAATCTAAGTTTTAAAAGAGACCTATATTATCTTAGATGAATGTAGAAGGTCTCTTTGGATTCTACTAGATGAGCGTTACATTTGTACTGTTTTTCATCCTCGTCTTAAACGCTTTGATGCAGAACCACATGAGAAAGATTTAGCGTTTGATTTAGTTAAACAAAAATTATTAGCACGTACATCAATATCACGTATTACAACGGATACTACTTCAAAAGCGGTGACTACGAATGTATCAATTATAAATGATTCAACAGTACTAGTTAATCCGAATAACCTATTAGCTTGTTGTTTTGATAAACCACGAGCAATAGTCAGTTCAGTTACGGCAACAGTGAAGGAATTAGATGACTGCATGGAATTGATTGTACCGGGTGAAGAAAGTGACGATATTCTTTTATTTTGAAAGAATCATGAAAAATCATTTCCAACCTTATCTGAAATTGTACGTGATCTATGTGCAATACCTGCTTCGAATACCATCATAGAATGGTTATTCTCAGCATAAAAAACATTGTAACTGATCGAAGAGCTAGTTTATGCGAAGAAAATCTCAACAAAATAGTGTTTCTTAAAAAATTTGAGTCTACTGGTTTTTTGAAAAACTTAGTAATCAAAGGATGCGTTTCCATCTAAAATATCTTATTCATTTGTTACTATAAAGCAGGCATTCCCAAATATTTACATGTCCGTACTACATGCTTTAGATATTTTGTTCAAATTATTTCGAAAAAATCAGATATTTCCCGTAAAGTTTTCAATACCCCTAGCTACACAATTAGACTATCCTTATAAAATTGAGGCTTTGTCGAGGTTTTTTGTTCACATAAGCTTTTCTGGTTACGTTTCAATATTCAAATGTACTTGATCAACTGTCAATGCATGATATTTAGGACTAACCCTGTTATTCTACTTCTTACTATTAGTCATTCGCTCAGAGAGCTTTATTTTATTACATATTCTGAACCTTATTTTCACGATCAGAGCTGAAATCTTTTGATTAAATATCATATTGGAATATCATTATATCATGCGTTTGAATCATAGAAATATTTTAAAAAATTTCGCCGGTATTCTCTCCTTAGGGGAGTGGCGATGGCCGGGTAGCCTAACTGGTGGATCCGCCACTGCATATATCATTGCGCAATGTGGTTACGTTTCTGCGCGTAATTAATGTAAGGTGGAAATGTCTATCATATCTTTTTTTCTGTTCTTTCTTCTCTCTCTCGTGTGCATATATAAGGCGATTGTATTGTGTTGAAACAGAGAACTGGAACAGAATTAGAACATTAGAGAATGGAGTAGTGTAACTAACATCTTGTATGCATCGAGAATAGCGGTAACGCTACTCTTCCAGTTTCTCTTTGTGATCACAAATAAAAAATTAAAATTGCAGCAGCAACGAATATAAACTATCCATTTATCATCAAACAAAATTCGTTACAATCATGACTACGAAGAATCTTTTAAAAATGAAGTTACCATATTACAGCAATTAAAAAACATCCAAAATTCAAATAATTTTGATTTATTTTTTGAAAATATTGTGTGTGCACCATCTACAGGTAATATTTGTTTATTGAAAATATTCTTTTTTAGAAACTTCTTCAGTACATTGAACATCGATTAAAAAAAGAATAGAAAATTTTGTTTGTTTTTCGAAGAATATAAGAAAAGATTTAACTAGAAAGTAATATTGTAGAAATCGCAGTTTTTTTGGTAGCATCTGTTTGAATGAGATTAAACAAAACAAAATAATTATTCATCATAATAAATGAAAAAGTAGAAAGTTTATTTTCTGTTAAGAGAAAAACTCGAGTGAAATAATTTTTTTCGCTGTTGGCTATGTAGAAAATGAATTCGACGAGAACTATCTAGATTGTTGAATTCATTGATGGTAAAGTTTCTTTTATATTCGCTATTTTTCGAGATTTTTCTAATTAATGATAATCGAAAAGAAAACAAAACTACGTAAGATTAATATAACAAAAGAAATATTATCTGTTTTTGATAATTATGTTTAGCCATTCAAGGCTTCGTTAGACTAAAAAGAAATAGAAAACTTCGAATATTTTTGCCATTCTTCAAGTAAATGACCTGGAATCATGTTTTTTTAAAGAGTAGACATGAATAGAAATGCTATTCATATGAATAAAATTAGCTAATTTATGTTCCCTGTCTTTAGTTAAATTTGACTAAAGTTTAGTTACTATCCACAAATAGATCTATTATTGTAATGTCATGTTAAAAACTACGTCACTCACTGAGATTAACCTTTGTTTAATTATTCTTTTCTTGAACAATGAAGAATAATCTTCTTTGTATTATCAATATACATGTACCATAGTATTTGATAAATAAATAAAAGAATATCTTACAGTTTTAACTGCTGTTAGGAGCTATGAACATTTCTCTATTGTTTTATTATATACAGAACAAATTTTTATTCGTTCTATCTACATGAAAATCGAGTATTCCATTACGAATAAAACTTTTAATTTATCATTTACTCATGGACAATGATTGAGTCGTTTCATTGAGTAATAACAAATATATTAAAATTTTCCTTCAACTTATCAATTCTGGAGATACTGTGAACTAAGAAAAATATTTTAATTTTAGATTTTATGTTCGCAAATGAGAAGATACGGTCAGTACTCTAAAATTGTAGATGATAAAAATTAACGAAATAGAAGTCGCACTTTTCGATAAGGTATCCTCGAGATTCGATATTTTTTGCCTCGTAGTTATTTTTTGTCTGATGCATGTTTTGTGTTAAGACAGTGCGTGTAAGGTAGAACAAACATTTGACATAGACATTTAATGAAAATGATTGATTCTTGTTTGTAAAAAATAATCTACATATAGCTTCTGTTGTATTCTCTAACTTATGTGACTGTTATGTCTTCTTCTCGCTCACATTATTATACTCAGTTATCAGCGAGACAGCAACGTGATGGTATGACAACAGAACGGAACAAAAGGATAATCCCCCTTCGCATGGAATCGAACCATGCACCTCCTGCTTTCCGGGCAGACGTATTAACCACTGTACTAGAAAGGAGTGTGCATTATTCGTTTGTTCCGTCTTACGATCGAAGGGGAACACTTCGGTCGTAACAGTGACCACGTGTGGCTCACTGGTATGTACACACGCTGTCTAATCGCACTTCTACCATTTCAGAAATATTCGAATTTGAACTTTCTGTTGACCTATAGTTAGGTAAAGACCATCTTTAGGGTATATTGATGGCGACTTAGATCAAACCTGAGACGGATTGTAGACATCTTTTTCAATGGCAGACACCAAGTCGAGCGCATCTAGATGCAATTTTACTTTCATTTGCTTCTGAGTGCACTCCCAGAAATAGTTGCGTTTCAACGAGTTTATATTGAACCGCGTCAGAGCGTAACAAATGTTTCATCTGAGCTACGCCTAGACGCGTTCTTCTGCTGAAATTTGAACGCAAATCACACTCGATTTAAACGCGTTTTTTCTCAAAAATAATGTACATGGGCAGTGAAGACGTTTTCTTTTCTGTTTGGTAAAATAACCCTCATTGTGTCTATTAGAATATCGATCAAGCGATCAGCGTCCTTGTGTTGTCATCATCGAACGAATGAAAGAAAAATATTAAAAAAAGACACCAATGAACATTTTTTCTTCTGTCGAAATCTATTATCTCTTGTTAAATACACATACGTTCTAAGAATTTCTTGCCATTTAATATATCAACTAAAATTATCATAGTTTTGTTAACAACAACCCTGTACTTCATAATAATGGTAATATCCGACACAATAAAATTTTGGTCATATTTGATGACTCTCATTCCATCAACTATCTGTTCATTATTCGTCCTCTATCATCTGCTACTCAATCGAGCGTCTCGTCGAGCTCTTAATAATCATGCCATCATTATTCTTGTTGTCACTGGTTTGATTGCAGAAGTAACAATTTATCCATGGATGCTCTATTATTATCAATATAAAGATGTGTGGGAAAGATCACACATATTTTGTGTAATCTGGGGATTTTTANTAAAGGCATGCATTTAGTGCAATATCTAAAAATATAGCAATCCATATCTAAATTATATCAATATTGCCTAACTTAATACAATAGTATCTATTCTGGTGAAAGGATACCTTTAAAAAAACTTTTTAATCTAATTTTGTAATTCAACATCTTTTAAATCAATTAAATATCTGAATTAAAAAAATGTTCTGTCTGTTAATTCAATATATTATCGCTTTTAACAAATGACTACCAATGAATTTATCGACTTATCTAATTAATTTGAACGTAATCTATAATTGATAAGTGCTTATAAATTAATTGAAACAGTATATATGAGCTGGGAATGAAGATAAGTGATAACAAAAAAGTTAGTTTAAAAAATGTCTTGGGTGGGGTATAGGTGTAAAGAGAAATAAGAACACCCACACACCCATAATCTCACTACTAATTTCAATAGTTTCTGGGGTTAGCATGATTTTCTTTTCAATTTCTTTTTAATGTCAATTTACATTAATTTCAGTATATAAAATCAATTGTTGTAAATGCATAAATTGTTCTCTCCCTAAGATGTTTTGATAATATGGGTGGGTGCGGGTTGCTGCCAGTTAGCTTTTATTATTCATAGCATGACACCCACACCCACGCCCTACCAACTGCGATTTTTAAGTTTTCCTCTTCTTTAAACTCATTTACGTAACGACAAAAGTGTATTCTGATATAAATTGTGATATATTACAATTCCTCCCTCCTTTTATAGAGAACTAGAGGAGCAATGAAGCGAACCGATCAAGAGAGACACGGATATTGCGCAACTGATAAAACTAACCAACTTTGGTAAAAAGTTCATCCATTTCCACTAGCGCACTCATTCAACATGTTACTTACGATGCTTAAGGCGGAATTGTAAAATATTCAGAACGACCACTAAACTCAATTAGAAAAGTATGTGGGACGGTATATAAAGAAGATTCGATACTGAGTCATAACACGCCAATGTTTTGATAGCTACACTATCAATTATCTCTGTAATTACATAAGAAATCATCAACTCGATATAAAAATAATTCTTGTATGTGCTTTTACTATAGACTGGAAAATTGTTTTCGATTCAGTTCTCGCAGATCTATTCTGGGAAATACAGGAAAGTACCCATGCCTTCTTTGTCTCACGACTGTACTCAATATGCCTAAGTTAGAGAACGTGATCCCTTTCATTCTACCCGAAAATACACTTCTTATTTGTCGTATATTTAGACAAACGTAGTGCTCAACATATTCAACATACCTAACTGTACATTCAATCTTCAATCAACCTCTCTATTGTAGGATCTTTGGTAAAAGCAATGCCACATCCAAAACAAACATCTCGTTCCTATGGCAAAGTTC